AATTAAAACAAATATTGTATATATGTAATTACCAAACAATATACTTCTTATGTGGGCTTTGTGAAAATCTATGTTATTTAAACAAATAAACCCTATATTTTATTGTATAATTGTAAAGACCGTAGAATGCTTAATTGGCGTTAGACAACCGACAGCCGGTAAGGCGGGGCTCCGGAGTTACCACTCGACCCTAGCAAACACATTTTTTGTCGAGTATATGTGTTCACCTCGCGCCGATAGCCTAACAGAGTCATTGTTATGCAGACGGCTTGTAGGGTTGCTCCGCCTCGGGGTATCAGCTCAGGAAGATTCGAGGTCAGTCTAGTATAATAGACACTCAAGAGGTTAATTTCAGGACAGTCAGGAACATGTGTACTACCCTGCTGGAACGTTAACTGGCGGCCATCATAGTCAGACCAGGAATAAAGGACAAGATTCCTGTTGCAAATCATATGCATGTGTGTCTGACCTATAATTAAAATCTCCCAGACACTTAAACTGTGAGTAGACGCTGGATGTTGATGATGGCTGGATTGTTGCGTCAAGGTTAGCAGGGTTCCCAGCTACTATCCCCCCCCCCTCGCCCCCATCAACCTTCAACAACATAAACATTATTTTCTCGGTTGATGAACACACACACAGGGTAGACTTGACAGACAGGGAGGAATTGACAGGGTAGACAAGGATGGACTATTTAGCACGAGTGGTACACGCACAAGGGGACACAGGTGGAAGCTGAGTACCCAAATGAGCCACAGAGACATTAGAAAGTATTTTTTTCAGTGTCAGAGTAGTTAGTAAATGGAATGCATTAGGCAGTGATGTGGTGGAGGCTGACACCAGACACAGTTTCAAATGTAGATATGATAGAACTCGAGAAGTTCAGGAATCTGTACACCAGTTGATTGACGGTTGAGAGGCGGGACCAAAGAGCCGAAGCTCAACCCCCGCAAGCACAACTACGTGAGTACACACACACACACACACACACACACACATGACGACGTTAGCAGTAGGCTACGTCGTTGGCTCACAACCAAGGATTACGGGTTCTATCCTTGCTTCAGGACAGAAGCGTTAGGGCAACATTTACCTTCACCTGATACTTCTCTTCACCTAGCAGTAAATTCGTATCTATGAGTTAGACAGCTGTTGTAGGCTGCATCCTCGAGATGTTCAGTAGTAAGCCTAGTAAATATGATAGATAAAATAGGTTGGGAGTCATTGCATTAGGCAACCGGCGGTTGGAAAAGCGGAGTCCAAGAGCTAACAACTCAATCCTGCATGTACAAATAGGTGAATAAGTGAACACACACACACATACATACACACACACACATGTATGGGGCCTCGTAGCCTGGTGGATAGCGCGCAGGATTCGTAATTCTGTGGCGCGGGTTCGATTCCCGCACGAGGCAGAAACAAATGGGCAAAGTTTCTTTCACCCTGAATGCCCCTGTTACCTAGCAGTAAATAGGTACCTGGGAGTTAGTCAGCTGTCACGGGCTGCTTCCTGGGGGGGTGTGGGGAAAAAAAAAAAAGTAGTTAGTAAACAGTTGATTGACAGTTGAGAGGCGGGCCGAAAGAGCAAAGCTCAACCCCCGTAAAAACACAACTAGTAAACACACATATGGATTCAAAACTTGATGCTCAACTACATCAGCCGATCAAGGGTTTAGAGGCAAGGGCCCAGGAGTTGAAGTTGGAACCCCGCAAACGCACCTCTGTGAGTACAGATAGCACACATGTCACTATTCATATTTCATGTGGTATTAAGTTAACATAAAACAAAAAATAAGGAACAATGCAATAGGCCTGCTCCTGGCAGGTCCTATTTAAGATCCAATCATTTTCACTAATGTAACAGGCTATCTATCCTATTAAAACTTATTAATTAAATTATTAACCTCTATAGTGCTAGCTGGTAAGTTAGTCCACTCGTCTACAAAAATAAATATTCCTTTTAGTCCTATTTTTTTTAATTTATATAAATTATTATGAGTTCTGAACTGATTTCACAATATATTTTAGTCCGCAATGGTTGTTATATTGGGACGCGTCGCGTCCCAATATAACAAATCGCGTGGTAACAAATTCCAGCTTCTGGACTTACCTGTTGTGAGAGCAGCCTGGGTAGTCCAGATGAGGGGGCGGCAGTGGCAGCAGGCGCTAGTGTCCACTTGCTGGCTGTGGATGCTGCTGGAGACTGTTGTATTTGGCCCCCTCAGCTGGAAGGTGTCTCACCCTCCACCCCCCTGTTCATGCAGAATGTCTCCCCCGCAACGGCTGGAAGGTTTAGTCCCCCCACCACCCATCACCCCATCCTTACTGTGGCCCCCACGCCTGGATGGAAGGTGGGTATCACAATCACCACCCAGCCTTGGTTGAAACGCCTCAAGCTCAACCATCTGATCTTTCCATTCTACTCCACCCTCCCCCTTGGGTCCCCCCCCCTCCTCTACGTCCACTGTTGGGAGGCGACACTCCCATTCGCCACCCCAGTTCACCCATGACCCCTCCGCCCAGGTGTATGTGGCCTCCCATACTTAGATGGTGTCTGACCTCACCTCACCAGTTCCCCCCCCCCCCTCTCCCACTTGTTTGTTTGATGGTCCCCTCATTGTTGGAATGTTATATCCCCCATAGTCTCTGAGACTGATGGATGACTACTACTACTACTATTCCCCCCCCCTAGCCACTAGAATATATATATATATATATATATATATATATATATATATATATATATATATATATATATATATATATATATATATATATATATATATATATATATATATATATATATATATATATATATATATATATATATATATATATATATATATATATATATATATATATATATATATATATATATTTATATATATATTTCTAGATGTGAGAGGATATACATATAAATTTAATTCTGTACCCACTTTTCGTTAGTTTCTTAATATTTTCTCTCTACAGTCGTCCACAATATTATATAATTCATAAATTATATCATAATTGATATAATTCATAAATAAAGACTCCATGTGGGTTGGACATGTATATGAGGGGGCTTGTGGTTATAAGTAGGAGCTGCCTCGTATGGGCCAATAGGCCTTCTGAAGTTACCTTTGTTCTTATGTTCTTATGAACTTAACGCTTTTGTACTTTCACTAAAACAAACAGGCATATATATATTCATCCTACGTTGAAGAAACATTATCAGTTTATCTTGAAATTTGAGTTAAGCGGGGTCCAATAACAATATCTACCGTGCCTATGTCAGAATGAGTATGGGATGCACAATAACTAGCCGCCTCCGGTTGCAACAATCAAAGTGACTTAACTCCTGCCTATCTATTTACTTCTACAGCAACTGGCATTACAATTTCCAGAATCAGGCTTTGGTTTATCATTGCTTATGACAGGTAATGACTACCAACAGTGAGTACTCCTCCAGTTTCAAACTCTGTGAGAGAGCTAGAACAGTCGAGTGTGTGTAGCTGGAAGGTCCTTGGTTTCCTTGGCGAGGTAGGAAAGTAGCGTTTGGCCCACGTTTCCTTTCACCTGATGCCTCTATTCACATAACAATAAATATATATATATATATATATATATATATATATATATATATATATATATATATATATATATATATATATATATATATATATATATATATATATATATATATATATATAGTTATCCGTGGGTAGGATGGACACAGGAAGCTCAACTATTTTTTTTTTAAATAAATATGTTTATTCAGGTAAGGTACATACATACAAGTGATGTTACATTAATGGATCAATATATAGATAGAGCTAGTACATACAATGCCTAAAGCCACTATTACGCAATGCGTTTCTGGCAGGAAAAACATTAATATCTAGAACTTAATACTAATTGAGCATAAAGAATAAAATTGGCCTAGAGATTGCTCAATAAGCCTAACGAAAATATTCTCGTTCTCTGCCTAAAGTTTGTTAGCTAGTATAGACTAGACTTATACCAAATTGAGTTAATTTGTTTGAATATTACCACCATCGGCGGAGTGTTATAATTGTACACCCTATTGTCCTGTGAAGGGTAGAGCAGTTGTGGGATTACAGAGCGCACAAGCGGTCTTAACCTCTTATAATTTATCTGCGCAACTTGTACAGTACAGTACAGAATTTAACTCTAATGTCACCTATAGTAATTACAGACTACTGCTGCCTGTACTGTAACTGTACGCTATGAACGACAAATTTTGTAACATTCTAACTGTGATGAACCAATCTAACTCGGAAGCAAGTTACAAAATTCACTGCACATCATCAATGGGTTCGAGATCGACCACAAGTACAGTTTCTAAATTAAGCAACTGACATGTGAAGAGCTAGTGTCACAATTGATGTGTTTGACCTGCACAACGCCCCCCATCCAGTGGGCAGCGGTGGATAGGTTACAATAGCAACTCATTCATGTGTATACAAGCTTGTTAAACAAAAAAGTTCAATTATATACTGTCTGAAAAATATACTAAACATTTATATTGAGACAATTATATTTATATTGAGACAATTAAATATTGAGCTTCTAAATTTGATTATATTACAACGTCATTAGACATATGTTTTAGGATCGCCGCAAAATAGAAGTGTGTTCATGTTTGCTAATAACAAAGTGCGAAGCCAACGCACAGCCTTTCGAACAGTCGTGTAAAAAACACTACTATCCTATGTATAAATGCTACTGTCATCCCTGACAACGTATTGAACTTGAAAAATCACATTAATTATGTTTCTTATTGAATTCAAGCGAATATTTAATTTTTCTTTGAATAAATTCACTTCTAATGTTGAAGGACCTTCATTTTGAAGCTCAAATTTTGGCGCCGAGTCATCCGCTGGGGCCGAAGTGCCATTGTCAGCCTCATAGCTAATATATATTGCAGTTCTTTAGAATTTAATTTATTAATAATGTTCTATTTTAGAGATAAAAGCGTGCATTTAGAGAAAACATGGTGGTTCCTCTCTCAATTGAAAGCTACACGATTTTGCTTAAAAAAAAATAATGAAGGGAAATATTTGGACGAATGGCGGCAACTGAGCCCCGGACTCCTTCAACTTGGCCTGACGTAAACATGGCGAACAGGTAAGGGAGCGTCTTTATGCGTGCCTTTCCTTACTTTCTAGGGTGATGTTGGCTCCGGTGTGTGGTCTAGGTTGGCACTGTGCCCCGTGGTGGCACAGGGCGCGTGTAGGAACATTGCTAGAGCCTCCCCACTGTGCTCAGGATGAACAATGCCCTAACATATTCGCATTTGGGTGTCCGCGCCTGTGTCCCCCAGCCGCGGGTGCTGCAACATTTCACAATGTTGGAGGCGCCCCTGCAGGGACTGGGCTTGGTAATACTGTTATCGGCATGTGCTCAAGCTGTGTTGAATGAGTGTTGAGGCGTGAGTTGACTCCAGGGCAGGAGAGAGGCTGTGGAAGGTTGCTGGGGTCGCGTGATTAAACAAAGCTGGGATCAAAGATTATTCTCTATCGTGAGCCACTGTGTAGCCATGTTTTTTTCTCGTGTTGCTTGTATGGGCCAGAAGTATTTTACAAGGCCGAACGCCTCAAGATCCTTATAGAATAGTTGAAGAGAAGGAGAGAGAGAGCAGGTGTCTGTAGGTAGAGTGCGGGCACATGTTCTACACAGGTGTGGGACCAAGTCTTCAGAGTGCTATATATAGTCGTAAAGGCTTGGCGCTTTCCCCTAATAGTTCCTTTCCCTGCTCCACTTTTTGCTTCTAGAAAACATATGAAATACCTATATATAGAGAGAGAGAATGATAAGGAAATTATAAGCCATGTACTCAAAATTTGGAGTGAACTGTGTTGCTTTACAAGTAAACTGCAATACTTTTTACTTTTATCATATCCATTGGCAAAATTATGTACAGTAATACATTACCTAAATGCCATGGCACCCTTGTGTGATGTTACAATGTTAAACAATAGCAGTATCAGTGCAAGCAGTAGTTTCATGACCATCTGTCTTAATATAGAAAGTGTGGCAAGGTCAAACAATGTCTGCTGGGGTCTGATTAAGACTTTTTGTTTCCTTTTGTAATTCTTTTGTACTACTGCTTTGAGGATAAAAATTGGGTGCACAATAAGCTACGATAATAATAAATATACAGCATCAGTAAATAACTTTTCTATGCAATTCAAATAGTGTGATTGCAAAGATTGTCGTAAATTTTGTGTATTGTCAACAGAGAATAGATAAATTCCACCCATGCTGCAGCCAATGGGCATGTCTTATAAAATATGAAAAATAGCATTATACAGTACAGATAATTATAGAAAATACAAAATTAATTGTCGAGTAGATATGACGTCCTCATAGAAAAAAAATATGCAAAGATGACATTGAATGGTGAAGTGATGAAATAGCATAAAAGAGGAAAGCTGCATTAGAGTACATTTGTGTATGAAATCGTTATGTTGGGTCAGTGGTAATGTTTCTTAATGTAGAAAATTAAAAAAAAAAAAAACTTGTTGCTTCCTAATACAGTATTCTCTTCTGTACAATTCATTATTATGATTATTTAAATTACTGCATCCTATTTGGTATGAAATAAAATAGAGAAGGCTATTATTAATAGATATTTATTTAACTTATTCAATTTTCAGAGGAAAATTTAATGAAGTGTGCTGTCCACATCACCCCGAAGCTCATCTTATTGAAGATTATCGAGCTGGAGACCAGATATGCTCTGAATGTGGCTTAGTGGTTGGTGACAGGTGAGTGTCTTGGTGTTTTTCTGTCCAATGAAGAAAGATTCTTCGTTTAAAGATTTGGAAAGGGCCGACTTCTCTTTCAATTTTATCCATAATTCTTTTATGTAGATGTTGCAGTTTCTCATACTTGTTATAACTATTTGAAATTGTAAATACAGTTTATAGATATAAAGGGATTTCACCACTGGTGCAGTTGTGGGGGACCCATAGCCCAGAAGAAATAAAATATTCAGATATTTTTCTCAAAATTCAAATGTGTATTTGCTTCTACCACCTCTCTTTCTATTTTAATGATAACGTATGTAATAATGGGATTACAAAATTAATTGGTTATAAAACGGGAACATAAAAAAAAATAGTTTCCTAGAAGCTGTAGATTTCTTCAAACTTCACCAACACTGGGCAGGAACTGAGAATCCAGTGGGCATTTACCCTCTGGATCGCCACAATGAGTCATAAATATTATGCACTGTAATATGAAATGTGAAGAAGTAACCCTTTCTATCTGCCAACTTATAATAAATAAATATATAAATGTTTATTTAGGTAAGGTACATACATACAAGAGATTTTACAGTTTGTTGGATTAATAGATACAGCTAGTACATACAATGCCTAAAGCCACTATTATGCAAAGCATTTCGACTTGATGGCAAGGATGCGATTAAATGGGTATAACTTTATAACCCTCTGTATGAAATAATACCTCTTGATACTTCATGAATATTGAGGCTGGATTTGCTTAAAACAATTTACCTATTTTTGAGAGTTACATGTAAATAAAGAAATCTGGATTAATATCTTGAAATATAATTATTTTAACCACTTGGGCTGGACAGTAGAGTGATGGTCTCGTTTCACAAAGGTCGGCGTTCAATTCCCGACTGTCCAAGTGGTTGGTTCCTTCTCCCTGTCCCATCCCAAAACTTTATCCTAATCCCTTCCCTGTGCTATATATTCTTAATGGCTTGGTACCTTCACCTCATAGTTCCCTTCCCGGGGCTGTGCAATCAAATTTCCATTGTAACGCCATAAATGGTTTTATAGCATTTAATATTTCACATACAAAGAAAAATTCAGTCACACAGGATATTGGCGGCGCCAGGGTGTCAGTCCTTAACAACTATAAGTCACTCGTTTCGAGACTTCATGTTCACACGTTGAATAGGGGTCAGGTCGTGTGAGGTGACCTCGCTTCTGCTAAGCTGATAATTGATGCTGGCTGTGATGTTTCCATCAAAGAAACCGCCATCTAGGTGGTGTAGGGAGATAGCCAGAGGCTATCTCCTGGTAGGTGGAGCTTAGCTCCCGGTTCCCCCTTAAAGGCCCATGGAACTGTACATTTGAAATAATGAGAACAGCGACAGATAGCTTGCATCTCTAGAGTAGTTCCAGCAGCCAGACTAGGCCTGTCCCAGGCTGGGTGGGGGGTCTTATCAGGTGTATACAAAACCCCAACTACAAAACTTTGTCTCATAGACTTTGGTGAGTAAACAACCAGCACATAAGTGTCAAACAAAGTGTGACGTTTTCCACAGCTCCGCCTCTTCCAGCAGGTCAGGCTGGTTCGGTCTTCTCCGCTCTTTGCGTGTGGTCTTTTTGATGCGGGTTTATCACCATTTGTATGGTGATCAGGGGCTTCGTTAATGATGTTCCATCTGAGAACTTCGTCCCGGCGACAGCATGAAGTTTCTTCACGTTCTTTCCGCCATTTTCTTTCTCTTTGTCGGTTATCTTCGATTTCTGATCGAGTTGTCTTGTCCTTTCTGTCTTGGCTTTTCAGGACCGTCATTTAATGCCCAATACTGTCACCACATTTCGTGCGGCACTGGCTGAGCAGCTCCAGTTTGTGTTTGGGGTGGATGTTACTTCTGCCCCATTCCATAATCTTTCTCGTGCTTTGTTTCACCTCTGGCCTGATCATGCGCCGCCTGAGCCGTCCTGGTCCTTGGACAGGGTGCTCTCCTATCTTTCCTCTCCTTGGTTTGTGGTGGCCCCTTCGGTTCAAGATTGTTTTTACAAAGCTCTGTTCCTGTTGACATTGGCCTCTCTGGGTTGGGTCGGTGAGCTACATGCTCTCCTTCGGCGCAGGGGTTTCTACTCTTTTGGTCCTGGTGGTCGGTATGTTCGGTTGCAGCTTATTCCTTCTTTTCTGGCGAAGAAAGACGGCTAATTTTCGGATGGGGTCCTTGGATCATTGATGCTTGGTTGGTCAAGCTGGGGTGCATCATGTGTTGTCTGGTTGTGGCTCTTCGCCATTACCTGCATGCTACGGCTTCGGTGGCTGGGGATGCTCTTTGGGTTGATCCGGTTTCCCTCGTTTCCTGTTTCAGGGCTTGGATCTCCCAGGTCGTCCGCAGGATTATTATGTCTAGCCAGCCTGCGGTCTATCCTCGTGCCCATGCCATTAGATTTGCTGCATTGGCTGCCATGTTTGGCAACATGTCCTGGGCTGATATTCGGTCACTGGGATTTTGGAGGTCGAACAGCTGCCTGGCTGCCTGCTATTTGGTTAACGTTCCTGCACCTGGGGGTTCCTGTGTTGCTTTGGGTCGCAGGTGTGTGCTGTGAATGTCTGCCTCAAGCTGTGATCACCACCACCAACATTGGGTAAACCAATATCTGTATCTTGTACATAGTCTTTTATTATTGTTGTGGTATGTGTCGCTATCATCAGTAATTTCAGTTACTGTACTTTATTTCATCAAGTACCAAGTACTTTATTTTCATCAAGTGCTATGGGTATGAATGCATGGTGGTGCTGTGAGCCACTGCTCACAGTGGCTACTGTGTTTGTTTAGTTTGACTATAAAATCCAGTGTTTGACTAAACTGTGTTTAGTTTGACCATAAAATCCATTTATGCTTTTTATCATAGCAAAAAGTGGGTTGGATTTTGAAGTCCCATTACTGCTGATTATACTGTTTCTATATTCATAGTGATAATTTTTTATGTATGCTTGCATTCCTCCATGGTTCAGTATAAGAACTTGTACAATATTTGGCATACAGGTCACATTAAGTCAAGGAATATTTGTTCTTTACAAATTGTTTATTTTAATTGCAGTACTGTACAATATTTAATTTTACAGGGTGATAGATGTAGGATCCGAGTGGCGTACTTTTAGTAACGAGAAAGCCAACACTGATCCGTCTCGAGTTGGTGGTCCAGAAAATCCACTTCTCAATGGTTCAGATCTCTCTACCATCATTGGACCAGGAACTGGCAGTGCATCTTTTGATGGATTTGGTGGCTCTAAATACCAGAATCGAAGATCTGTAAGTACAGTATTTCATCTTTATTGATTTCTGTATATTCACTGTGTGAGACTTATCCAGACCAATTGATATCTCTGGCTGTCTGATAACTGAAGAAAAGTGTTAAATATTACTCCATGCATTAGAAAACCAATAAGAAGCAGGGTTTGGCTGGGTGAGGCAGGATGCTGGATGGCCACCATTTGCCTGCAAGCTAGTCTTTAAAAACATGTAAAAATTTGATATACATACAGTACGTTACAAGGCAAGGTTAAAGGAATTACAAGAAAAGTTAGGGGAGATACAGTTACACTATAGATTTCTTATAACTTTATAGGGCCCACACAGACATTATTTACCATTGATATTATAATAACAAGGTGCACCAGTGGAAATGAATATATAAATGAGCCATAGTCGTGTTGGAAATAATCTTTTTCAGCATTAGAAGTAAGTTAATTATCTGGAGAAATTTCAGTGTCAGAGTAGTGATAAATATACTTCAGGTATGGTACACTGAAAAGTGAAGTGGTGGAGGTAGATTCCATTCGCAGTTTCAAATGTAAATATGTTTGTACCAAATAGGGTCAAGAACCTGTGTACCAGTTGAATGTTGAGTGGCAGGACCAAAGAAATAAAGCTGGGTACACACTTGAGTTGTTTTGCCTATATATTCACTATTAATTCCACATTCCTTGGAGTCAAATTATTTCACTGAAATTACCTGGTCCTCTTCTGGTAATAAATGACCACGCCAATTGTTAGCCACCACCTCCCAACTCTACTCATAGCCTACGACTAATAAACCTTCAATTCAATGTTACCCTTAGCGTCAAAGCATCCCCAGAACCTAATGATGAACTCTCATTAAATTCAATCACTCATAGATTCTGTGTAGACTGAGTCTGCTTGCTCATTACACACATTGCTGTTACCACTCTTTACACAGCTTTCTCAGGTTTGCTTGGGCTAAACATTGTTACACAGTGAGTGCTGCTGCACTACTGGTTTACTGGTGGTGGTGGTGCAGGTGCATTCATTGTTACCTTCAGGCATAAGCTTGGTTCTTGGCCTTCATTTTTAGTTATTGTCACCTATAATACCCAATGATTAGCCCCTACTTGCCTGTGTGGCCCTTATGCACCTGACTCGTCTGCCTCTGGTTATTGTGGTCACCATTTCACTCGTATCTGTTGACCCCTAAACTTATGATTTCACTAAGTCAGTTGTACCAACAAGCCCTGCTGTAATGTTCCCTTATGTTGTCATTTAATTCTTCCATTTGTTCTATATTTACTAGGTATGTTATCAATTGTATTGGCTAATGTTTCTCTAGGATTTTGGGTAAATATATTTTTAAAGTTATTATATTCCCAAGTTTTAAATGTAGTTCAATTTATATTTTCTTTACAGATGAGCAGTTCTGACAGAGCCCTCATCAATGCTTTCCGGGAAATCAGCAATATGGCTGATAAAATAAACCTGCCAAAGACCATTATTGACAGAGCAAATGTTTTATTTAAGCAAGTAAGTAGAAAGTATTGCAGTTTTAATACTAGTTTATATACAGTATGGGTTTCTTGACAATTAAATTGCATTTAGTTTTATAAATATATAGTACTGTATAGTGTACACTGACCCCTTGCTAATTTGCTTATCTGGGTAACTGGTAAAAGCTCAATCAAGTTAGATTATTTCTTGATCTAATTTGGTGGGAATCATCTTTGGCTCATGGGAATCCGTTTAACTCGTGGACACTTAATGAAACAACATCCTGCTCCTTTTTGTCTGAATTGCATTGTCCCACTTAGTTGTGCACTCTTAGTTGTGCATTCCTTGTGGAATGTTCCAATTTTCAGGAAGATTTCAATTTGCTTTTTTTTTTTCTCTCTCTCTGGGATACTTGTCCCTCGATAGAATCCATGGTGAATGTGATGCCTTTGATGATGCATTCACTTTATGTCCCTTTGTTCTCATATTGGCGTCCTGAGTGATATTGAGTACCTTTTGAATATCCCATGAATGTCTTCCTGGCACTGTGCCGGGAATAATTACAGTAATTTTCATAATTACTGTATAGTATTTACTAGGTTAATGATGACAGCAAGAACAAATGAATAATAAAAAGATGAGAGAGAGCTAGCTAGCTAGAGGAAGCAACTGAGTAGTAACTCGGTGTTATACAGCACTGTATACTCGAATACCCATTTTTTGTGTTTGTGTTTGTAAGTACATCAGAAATACAGTGTGATATATTTTTGTTGTATGTGGGTTTTAGGTTATGGCAGTATGAATTATTAATTAGAACAGTAATACATTTAAAGATTGCCAATAAGGTCATGGATGTCGGTGAGATTCAACTGGTGATAAAAATATGCAGAATAACCACTGTGATACACTGTGTTTAGTGTGAAATTCTCCCTGTGCCCCGAAAATCAAGCGTTAGCAAAAATTTGATTTCCTTGTAAAATTATAAATTCCCTTCCCTGAACATGTACTGTAAAAATAAAAATATATATCAAATTCCACTTGCTTTGGTTGTGGGAACGTGGACAAAGTGGTGCGTGACGTCATTATGCATGAGCCTCAAGTGTCCTGCGCAAGGCTCCCTGATGTTGTCGCGCGGTCCATTCAAGCCTTGCGAGTTGTCACAAATATATTTAACAGTACAACTATTTTTGTATATGTATTTCAGTGCTTTACAATTAGTTTTTTTTTTACCGTTTATGATGCACATTTGTGTCCTTTACAATATGTATACAGTAGAACATTAATAATGTTCCATAGAACTGTGATAAATGTCAGAGTAATGTGTATTCAATAAATGTTTATTGTTGCAATATTACTTGTTCAAAATTCACTAAAATGACAATATGTACAGTTTCACACACTGTTTATACAGTAACACTGTATTACACACAAAGTACTTTGGAAGCGAGTGATAATCAACGAAGCAGTACATGGTACACAGCGCGACTTTGCATGTGCTCTTGATGCACAAGGTACAAACAGATTTTTGCTTCCTGTTTCTTTGTTCTGTAAGCTTGCAAATAACTCACTAAAGTACGCCCTTGACTTTAGTACCTGTAGGTGGTATGTAGCTAAGCTTGTAAAGTGTGAGGTAGTCTTGAAAAGATGATAGGAAAAGATCAGTTTGTAAGGTAGTCTAGAAAGGATCACTTTGTAAGGCTGGATTGAAAAGATTCGAGTATTCTGGAAGAGATTCAGCTATTCTTCAAAAGATTGCTTTATAAGACAAGATTGAAAAAAATCCAGGTATTCTTGGAAAGATCTAGGAAAAGCTCAATGACAAAATTCTGGCCTAGTATCACACACATCTTCACCTGTATTTTGGAAAGTGGGTGCAACACGATCAGAATCATCAAATTGTGGATTGTGTTAAAAAATTATCACAGTCCTCTCTCGCGAATTCACTCGTGCTCCTTGTATTGCCACAACCATCACTGGCAATAAACACCACCATGGAAGACGCTAACACTGTTCTTCTATGCTACTTGTATCAGGTGCATCATCACTGAACCAAAAAACGATTTGTCTATTGTATCATCTATAAAAATTGGAGATAACACGGGTGAGCATGGGTGGCACTCTACTATTGGATACACTCGCTGTATTGTCCTCATCGGTGCTGTATCACTTGTATCCGACCCTTGTGTTAGGTCCTTATTGTGCCTAGCTTCATAATTATCATGACCCATATGTTCTTCAAACAATAAGGTCTGAATTTCACCGACAGAGTGATCTTTCAGGACTGCATCAAACAGGTGTTTGGGCGCCACACATGGTTGCTCACTCAAAACTGGGCCAGCCAGCAGCCCTAGGGCATTCTGGGAATTTTTTCAAAGATGGCTGCCTCTCAGGTGGAGGCCCCTAAGAGTCCATTTCGTACCCAACCAACCACGTGCGCTTTTGAATGGTTCGAAATCTTAAATTGGTGTTTTCTCGGTCTGCACAGTTTTCGGCTAACAAGTTTTCTAGGCCAGTGAAGTACAGTGGTTATGTAATAATCGTTAAAATGTAAAGTAAGTAATTAATTATCAAAAGAAGGCACCAAGCTGGGAAGGCTATGTAGCACCATCATTAAAATGTAAAGACGATGATGAAATGTAAGAAGAGTTCATTATACACACGATTATGAACTCAAACAGTAAAATAGAAGTGAGGAATGAATTTGAAGAGGATACAATGAAGTTTGTAGTGTTACATTAATGTGTACTTCAGTAAACAATTACAAAATGTATAAATTGTAGAAAATAATTAGCATTTTAAATTTGAATTATTCTATGTAACTGTTTTTCTCACTTGTATAATAATAATTTGTTAGTGTTATTGGCCATTCGTACTCAAAATGTGTGTTTAACAGGTTCACGATGGCAAAAATCTAAAGGGCCGCAGCAATGATGCCATTGCTTCTGCATCTCTGTATATTGCATGCAGACAGGAAGGAGTTCCCAGGACCTTTAAGGTTAGCACTTACATATTTTACATTGCATTCCAAATTTGTTTGTATTACTTTTTGTCAATTATAATGTTTTCCAAGTGTAAGTTATTATGTATTTCTAGCCTGCACTCTAGAGAATACAGATTTAGAATTTTGAAGTGGTTACATCTCAATTTAGACCACTACCTTAATCACCACCACTAGCACCACACCCACCATTAAAGTATATCTGTCGGTTAACCATACTTTTCAATTTCAGGAGATCTGTGCTGTAAGCAAGATTAGTAAGAAAGAAATTGGCAGATGTTTCAAACTTATCTTGAAAGCTTTAGAGACACAAGTGGATCTCATTACCACAGGGGATTTTATGTCAAGGTTCTGCTCAAACCTTGGCCTCCCCACATCAGCACAAAAGGCAGCGACTCACATTGCACGGAAGGCTGTTGATCTTGATATTGTTCCAGGAAGATCGCCCATTTCTGTTGCTGCTGCTGCAATTTACATGGCATCACAAGTATGTATTATTGCATTATTCAGAATATGTTCATATTTTTTTCCTTGTACCTGTATTAAGTTTTGCAATTCGACTTCAGTATAGTACTAGGAAAAAGTAAACTATTAAATTTTTATAATAATGTCATGTTGAGATCCTTTATTGTTAGCTTAGATAGGGAAAGGGCTGAATTTCAAGTAGATCAGGTTTGTCCACTTGGGTAAATATCTACTATTTTATATACTGTCAAATCATGTATTTTCAGCTTGCTAAATAAGGTTGATGTGGTGTTCTCTTCCGCAGGCATCTGACGACAAGCGGACTCAGAAAGAAATTGGTGACATTGCAGGTGTTGCAGATGTAACAATAAGACAGTCCTACAAACTTATGTATCCTCATGCTAAAGAACTTTTCCCTGAAGACTTCAAATTCTCTACGCCCATTGAATTATTGCCTCAATTATAGGGTTACTAAAAGCAGTTTAAAAAATATTAATGAAATATTACGTGCAAATAATATCTGGTGGACAAAGTGTGTTCCACCCTTTTTATAGTGAATTATTCTTTTGTGGAGTTTTATTGTATTTTTTTATGCAGAGTTAAGTTTTGTAAATGCTTTTGAGAAGATCACTTAAGTTTTCATCTGCAATAACCTTTTTGTTCCAAGTGGTTATTAATTAATATGTGGAAGATTTTAAGAGTGTAATCTCACACTTAAATGAGGTGAGGCATTTACTTGCTTTAGATACGCTTCCTTTCACAATTTTTTTTTTTCCTTTATTTGATAACAGATGAGCACTTTGACTTAACCCCCAAAGAGTTTGCATAAAAGAGTCATATCCATTCACTTTAATATTTTGATATTTAGGGTGGAAAACTAAGTTTAAATATAATCAATATTTGTTTTACACTACGTGGATCAGAATATAGGTATGGGTATAACGTGTAGGACTGGAAGCCCATGTATGGCTTCTTAAGTTTTCCCGTTGCCAAGAGTGAGACTGTTTCTGTTCAGTTACCCACCCAGTCTGGCCTGACCCAGTGGTGCTTAACCTAACTGACCAAGAGATGCACATGTCGTCCACTACTTAGTTCATAGTATTTCCATACATGATGATTGTAAAGTTTTAAACATTAATCAGAACGGGAAAGTTTATTCGTATTATTGTACAAAGCTTTGCTATAAATAATTTCAGTTCCTAATTTATTTTATGTGCATTTCAAAACTATCTTGAGTATGGCTGAAGCTTGTAGAGAAATAAATAAAAGCTTGACAGTTATTAGTATTTTTTAAGATTATATAATACAGTGGGGGTCCATTACTTTTGGCAGGTTATATTATTTTTTTACTTAAATTTTAAAACTATTCATATTAGTAATACTGATGTCAATACATGCTGCAAATATTAAATTAATACTATATGTATTTAATAGTCTTAAGCTGAATTGTATTGTATTCAGATCTCACTAAGACTTGTTTGTGTGTAGACTCCAGTGTCATGGTGCTGCATGAGAAAAAAATAAATCTGACTTGGACGGTTATTAAATCATGATGATCCATTGCATACATTGACTTTCTCACTTTTTCATTAGACTAGATCTGTGTAATTTTTTTTACAGTACATCTGTGAATTATATGCAATAGCTAATGGATTTTAAACCAGTAGTTGTCAGCACAAGTCTTATGAGGAGAGTTAACTAACTTGCATATGTTAGTGTTGAAAACGTTGATCTGTTTTAAGCTTGCTCAAGAGTATTACAATTAGTGTTCTGAATTACAATTTTTATCGGAAATATTTCATTTGACGCTTGATACTGATTGAAAATTTTCTTAATGTCCAGGAAAATTGTCATTCCATTCCAAAAGACCTTAATAAAAGGTAATTTTACTCGGTTAATATATTGCTAAATATGCATGTAATGGTGCCTTCATTGTAATCCATGTCATAATGTCCCTAGGGTGGCATCAGGAAGAGCTAACTCTAGAACCTTTGTGAATATAGTGAAGCAAAATGAAGTGGATGTGAATTTCAAGACTGTTGTGAATCTGAAAGTGTCAAAGCAAAACAAAACTAGTGTGCAAACATGAGGAGGTTCATTAAAATGCATGATTTTTCCTTGGTTCAATTTGCTGTATATAGATTGGTTAAATGCCAGCCATATCAAAGGGTAGCATTTAGCCTGCCATTTTTTAAATTGGCCATGCTTTGCTCAGGTACACAAAGATTTCTTTGGTGAATCTCTTGACTGGTGTTGCTGGTTATAAATTCTTTATTGTGACCATATGAGGTTTGAAGCTCTTTTTTTTTCATAATATGTATCATGTATAAACTAATTTAGTGATTTTTGAAGAGATGAGGGTTTTCTAATTTAGAAAATGGAGTAACTATAAAAAGTATTAAAAAAATGTAGTAGTGTTTAGAATGTGATGATAATATCTGGTCTTTAGGATTTGTTTGCAAGAACACTATGCCTAATACCATTATGAATATATTCATGGAATTTGCTTAGCAAGTTATAAGATAACTTTGCTTTTCTTCTAAATTACATGTAAAGAATAATAATTTTTGTCACGTATCTTTCCCTGAAGTAGAGGAGCATTTGTTAAGTACAAATGTCTGCATAAAGATATCTCTACCTTCAACACAAGTGAAGGCATCCCAAATAATAAACACAATTTATTTAAACAAGTAATTATTGAGATTAACTAGAATTGTACAAATACAGTACACATCACTAGGCCTCCATATCACTTGCTCAGCAGCACCAAGTATGTTGATGTTCTTAAACAGTTTAGTGGATTTATGTTTTGTACCATAGTTGTGGTATAGTGGATTTGTACTGTGCCCCATTTGTGGTATAGCAAGTTATTCTGCACTTAGATCATTGGTGGGACATACACAGTGCATGCTGTATTTTGTGTGCAAGGTGCCCTTTATATTCTATACATGAAATACTTTTGAGCATCGAGACCTAAATGAATATTTTATCTACAGCACGTGGAATGGAAAGTGACAGTTTTTAGAAGGTCTGAGCTGTTGTAGCAATAACCATTTATGTTTTTCAGTTTTGCTATGAAAGTGTGTGTAATTATGTGACTGATTAATAAAATTATAACAATTAGGTCCATTCCAGTGTGTAAGAGGTTAAACAAAAAATTGAAGATGAACTATGAGGTTTATTTTTCTACATAAAACTATAAACCAAAAAATGCCATATTGCATCTAATTTTTTAAAGGTACCATTGTGGTATATTTCAACATTGTAAGATAACACTTACAGGTTAAGTTGCTGCTGCTTTTTTGAACATTTATTATTGGGAATGATTCTTCAAAATTATCATATTTTTTTTCCGTCTAGGACCTGCATAGGGCCAACCCCCCCCCCCCCCCCCCTCCCTCTCTCCTCTAAAGAAAGAGGAGCTTCCAGAGGAAACTTCCCTTAAAAAAATTAGATGAGATTTTTTCACAATTATTTTAGAATGTTTGAATGCGCCTCTTTGTTTTCGAAGCAGGATTTTGTCATGTCTCCTGTTATTTTACCGATTTCTCTCCATAGACTGGCCAATAACTATCATGCACCTATGTCCTTTGCAGTAAATTTGTGTTTATTATGTTATGCTAATTTAGCTTGTTCTAGGCTCATAGAATTGCTTAGTATTTTTACTTTGTTTCTGACAAAGGTTATATTTTAATGGAGTGCTTTCTTAGTGACAAAGGAATTTGCCCATTATCAATAATAGTTAAAGGTACACATTTGATGTATTTATTGTGTGATTTTGTATAGTAATAAAATTATATATAATTGTGTTATTAATTGGTCATTGTGATTATAATTAAAGTGTTTGTAAAGTTATTTGATACCATGGCTGGCTCACCGCTGGCATGGGTACTTGGCTCTTGCTGAATAACCAGTCTTTTGCTCCACTGTAAACCAGAATTCATTTTAACCCTTGAAGTTAACAATTCTCTGTCCTGGTTCACCACTATGCAAAAAATAACCAGCTTCTTTACCTTCATTATGTACTTGGGTACAATAATGCACTGGTCATTAGCTCCTAGTGGCATCTCGTTTTCTATTCTCGACATCTACATTTTTGGCAAAAATAGTAAAGTTACTTGTAGTTGTTCTTTACAGTGTCTGGCACTGATGGTCTAGGTGCTTGGTACAGTGTCTGGCACTGGTGGTCTAGGTACTTGGTACAGTGGCTGGCTTTGGTGGTTGAGGTACTTGGTACAGTGGCTGGTACTGATGGTCTAGGTGCTTGGTACAGTGTCTGGCACTGGTGGTCTAGGTACTTGGTACAGTGGTTGAGGTACTTAGTACAGTGGCTGGCTCTGGTGGGTTTAATGCTTGGTACAGAGTCTGGCACTTGTGGTCTTGGTACAGTGGCTGGCTTTGGTGATTGAGGTACTTAGCAGTGTCTGGCTCTGGTGGTCTAGGTGCTTGGTACAGTGGCTGGCACGTGTGGTCTAGGTACTTGGTACAGTGGCTGGCACTGGTGGTCTAGGTACTTGGTACAGTGGCTAGCTTTGGTGGTTGAGGTACTTGGTACAGTGGCTGGCTTTGGTGATTGAGGTACTTAGCAGTGGCTGGCTCTGGTGGTCTAGGTGCTTGGTTGTGTGTGGCACTGGTGGTCTAAGTGCTTGGTACAATGTGTGGCACTGGTGATCTACGTACCTCGCAAATGTTAAGACCCGGGCTTCAATCCAGGGCAGGCGTATAATTACATATTCCATCCCTTTTTGTGCTCCCAGGTCATGTATCCTCTACACAAAAAAGTTGAATTATTTGCAACTCAAACTTGTTTTCTTTCAAAACATTTTTTGTTCGTGCGGCTATGGGATTGGAACCACCTCAGGAAACATACATAAAGTCCCTAATTAGTAACTTTCCAATGGAATGCAGAAATCATTAGTTATTAGCGAAGTGAATATCATGGACAAACAGACATGCAATCTAATCTTTCGTGACCGAGAGGATTGTGTATATGTATCCTTGTCGTCACATGCTGGGTGATAGCGTTTATCACCAGCTCTGGTGAATGGGATGATTTCACGATTGCGTGTGTACCCATGTAATTGATCACAGAACTTATTTATGACTGAAGTATATATATTCATATTCACCGATTTTAATTAATAATTAGAGAAACAGTTAAAATAACACGGCTGGTGGGAAACTTTGAGACCTAATTTGTAACATCTTTCTAAATGAAGACGAAGAATGACTCATTATTTGATCACTAACCAAGCCAGTACAGTACAAACTACTAAAGGGAGTTTGACCATTACATGAAGATAAATTAATGAGGGGGAATTTTACCCGAGGGCCACTAACACTAGTGGACAGGAAGCCGGCAGCTTTTCTAAGGTCCCCCCATTTATCCTGATGATTTTTTCAAACAGGATTTTAAAGTTCAGCAGAGTTTCGGCATTGGTAGTTCCATGGGTTTATATTCCAGTGGGTGAAAAGGCATTTGTTTTCAAAAAAAGACCTACACTGGCTTGAAACCGTTGCTCCTTATTTGTGTTGCCGCTGACCTTTTGAAGAAATTGTCAGGATCAACATCCTCGACAGCAGATCTCATCGAATCTACGAAACGAAAGACGAGGTTTTCCTGTCTGCTTTCACCTCAAGGTCAGCAAACCATCATTATATTTACTCACTTTAACATTATCGTCCTTACGGGCTATTCATGCCTGTGCCACCTCTTGGGTGGATTAATCATTATCGTCGTCAGAGATACATACACCGGTTTAAGTTTTTAAGTTCACGGGAGACATCTCCCGTCACGCAGGGTGCAGTTGCACCTCCACAGATCTCCAGTATCATCTATTGATACTGATGATGACTCAATAGGGCCACCACTTACGAGCTATTCCTGCCCGTGCCACCTTTTGGGTGGCTTCATCTTTTTAAGTTCAAGGGAGACATCTCCCGTCACGCAGGGTGCAGTCCCACCTCCACAGATCTCTAGTATCAGCTCTTGATATTGGTAATGGCTCAGAAGGGCCACCACTTACGGGCTATTCATGCCCGTGCCACCTTTTGGGTGGCTTAATCTTCATCAATCAATCAATCTTTTTAAGTTTTGTCCCGAGGAGCGAGTTTATTGGGCAGCGCCACTCATCCTGTGAGTGGACACATCGCCAGAGTAGCATGTACAACACTCCCCAATATGAAGAAAACCCGCTGGGTTCTTCATCCTGTCACTTGTACCCAGACACAGCTGGGACTTGCTTAACTGTCTCAAGTGAATAGCTTATCAAACAAGAAGATTAACATTTGTCAACCCGAGCTGTTCACTTGAGACAGTTAAGCAAGTACAGGAATCAAGGTCCCCGCACCGGCCCCCACCCCTACAGCAGGGTCTACACCAGAGCCCACACCACCTGCTGGAACCATACCAGCTCCCTGCACACCAACCTCGCACTCCACAGAGGAAGAGCCCTCAGAGTCCTCAACATCACATTCTGCAGCCCACTTACGAGGGGGCGACACACTCCTAGCCGTCCGAGAACGCTTCGACACAGGACGCTGATCGTCGGAACTGTCGCCACCAGCAGAAGGCACTTGAGAAGAGCCCTGGACCGGCCGCCCCACGGCGGTGGAAGCGCGACCCCGAAGCACAGCAGCCTCAACGACAAGGGGCACAAGGCCACACCCCACAGGTGACAACGGAACTGGAGACAGGGCAGACAGAGCTGGCGGAAGCGAAGGGGCCAGCACAGGTAAGGGAGCCTCCGGAGACGCGGAATCCGGCAGAGAAGGAGCCAGCTGAGGCGAGGGAGCCTGTGGAGGCGAGGGAACCAACCGCGAGGGCGGGTCCTCACACACCACCACCCCTACACTCACACCACCAACCGTACTCACGGGCACACAAGTCGAGGAACCCTGTAACACCACCGAGGCAGCAGACGGCAGGGAAGCCTCCCCCACCACACCATCACAAGGCGACAGGTCCGTAGCCACTAACGGGGAAAAATCCTCTTCCCGAAACAAATTCACAGGAGTCGCCGCTAGGTGCCCTTCAAGGCCACACCCTGGAAATACAACCTGGGCTGCCCTGCGTAGAAGGCACGGATGGGGTAACCCATTGTCAATAAGCAGTCTCCGTGGTGTAGTGGTAAGACACTCGCCTGGCGTTCCGCGAGCGCTATGTCATGGGTTCGTATCCTGGCCGGGGAGGATTTACTGGGCGCAATTCCTTAACTGTAGCCTCTGTTTAACGCAACAGTAAAATGTGTACTTGGATGAAAAAACGATTCTTCGCGGCAGGGGATCGTATTCCAGAGACCTGCCCGAAACGCTACGCGTACTAGTGGCTGTACAAGAATGTAACAACTCTTGTATATATCTCAAAAAAAAAAAAAAAAAAAAAAAAAAAATGTTGAGGATGAGTTTGTTGGCAGTTAGCCAAAGATGGACTTTATTTAGCTCAGTATTCACTGTGACATTTAGAGCAAGGGGGGTCAGGAGTGGAGTAAATGAAGGTTGTGTCGTCAGCAAATAGAATTGGTTTGAGGTGTTGGGAGGCATTTGGAAGGTCATTAATGTAGATGAGAAAGAGGAGAGGGCCAAGTATGCTGCCCTGAGGAACACCAATATTGATGGGTAGGGTGGAATAAATTGAATTATTTACAGAAACATACTGGAGCCTGTCAGTAAGGTAAGATTTGAGGTATTGCAGGGAGTGACCTATGACTCCAGAATGATGTAATTTAAGAAGAAGGTTTTGGTGGTTGACAGTGTCAAAAGCCTTACGCAGGTCCACAAATAACCCAACAGGGAACTCATTTTTATCAAGAGCTGCATGTACCAAGTTAATCATACTAATAAGTGCATCGTTAGTGCTTTTTTTGGGTCTGAAGCCATATTGACAAGAGCTGAGTATATTGTGTTTGCCTAGATAAGTGTAAAGCTGCTTGTAGATTAGTTTTTTCAAGTATTTTTGACAAGTTTGGCAGGATTGATATAGGTCTGTAGTTGTTAACATCAGTAAGATCACCACATTTGTGGACTGACTGGTACCAAATCAACAACATTACTTTGCAGCAGATTGATGAAGAAAAGGACCTTGGAGTCAGAAACCACAGGTCACTAAACGTTTCACAAGTGGGAGATGCAGTAAAAAACAAAATCAAAGCAAAAAACATGCACATACTAGGAATAGTTAGACGTAACTTTGATTTCATGGAAAAGAAGGTAGTTAGTTATTCAACTGTATCTCTAATACACTCCCACTTGGATAATTGTATCCAAGCATGGAGACCTCATCTTCAGAAAGACATATCAACTTTGGAGATAGTTCATCATCGCAGGCGACTAAAATCATTCCTGAACTAATTTTGATTTGATTTGATTTGATGTCAACTCTCATATGGTTGAGGGGCCCCAAGGGCTAACAACACTGCAAACCAGACATGACAGGATGATCTAACCGAAGCGTTTAAATATTGAACAACTTGGAGGATATTAGTCCAGACCACTTCTTCAAAAGGTCAGATGTAATAAGAACAAGGAGCAACGGAGTCAAGCTCAACAAGCCGCATGACAGCAAACATAAGATACTTCTTCACCAATATATAGAGTTATAAACCCTCGGAACCGCCTACCTGCCGAAGCCGTGAATGCCAAAACATTGCTGCCATTTAAGATTTCAATATTCTGTTTATATATCATAATTTTCTTAACACAATTAGTTTAACGTGCTGATGATCTCCTTATGACGAAAGGTGCTTGATGTCCGTCTTTGATCTCTGCATCTCATGGTCAGTAATTTTTCATTAAAATACTGTCAATATCTCTAGGTGTAAGGAGTAAATGCATTAGGATATATGGATGGTAAGCAGTCGGGAAATTCCACGTCACCATTATGCAATTAATACCCCGCCCACCGTGTGCAGGTTCAAGGCTTGGCCTGACATATAGCCTCCTGCAGCCTTAATAATGTTTATGTACATCTATTGTTGAGCTCGTTTTAATTGTGTTTAAGTTAAATTCTCATTCACAGAATCTAGCAAACTGGTACCGACCAGACAGCGATAAAAATAAACTGAACAAAGGCGCACGTCCTACCAATAAAGGCACATGTAAATCTTTCCCAAAACACCTACCATATATACGTGAGACAGTGTTTAGTACAGCTAAGGGGAAGTAAGTAATAAATATATGGACGAAGTGTACAAAAGCAACTAAATTAGGCAAGCGTATTCTTGTTTTCTATACATGTTTTACAGAATTTGAATAATTGTACCGGCATATATGTTACGTGAATACAAATGGAAGAAGACAGCAGCGCGCGTAAAAACAATTGGAATTGTAGCTGGCATGTTGAAGGACAAAGAATATATAGGTGTGTTTATTGTTAACCTATTAGTAGAGCGATTGATAACAACTTCCTCTTTTACTGATGAGAACTGATGGGAAGTTCAATAGACTATGTAGAATGTTTTATCAGTTACAAAGTGATAATGCAAGCAGCATAGATAACTAATATGAACCTTGCCAAAATGTAGTGTTTTCCATCTGGCACACAATATTTGCTTGACATAAATAACATATTTATATGCCATCTTATATTCTTTGAAACCAATGACAAATAACTGGAAGACATCCTTCGGAAATGACACATGTATTTGGTGACTCCATAAGGCTCAGAAGTAGCTCTGTATGCATCACAAAATTACTATAAATCATAAATCAAATACCTTTATAATTTTAAATTGTTCTGTATATTAGTATTATCAAGAAGCATACATATTATAAGTTAAAATTACCAAATATATTGGTTTAAATGCCAATTGAACTTAATAAAATGTGGAGCGAGTCTACCTCTAGTTGTTTAGGCTGTGACGTCATGCTCATATGAAAGATTGTGACCAGCCTGTCCTCGTAGCTCTCCAGGATGTCGGTCACCGCTGAAACTCTGGGCCTACCGCTCAAGAAAGCCTCTGACATTGACATTTTGAAGCCTCTGAAGAATCTAATAACGTCACGCTACCAGACGGCGGAGCAGGAGAGTTACATAGGTGCCATTAATGAGCTTGCGAAGCTAAGGACATTGGCTGTGTGCAGGACGTTGGATCACCATGAATCATCCCTGGACACACTCTACAGGTTAGGGGGACAAAGCAACTCTTCACTCACTTGGGCCGTCTTGTGTAGCGCTATGTGTTATATGGAATTTATAATTGTTTGGGGGCATGGCATCTTAATATATGTCAGTATAGCAATAGATAGTTTTGTAAGGGCTTTGGTCAAATTGTTATATATTGTACTGTAGAGGTGCATCCTCACTAGGGTTAATATAGCTCCTGCCCGAGGCGATTTAAGATTACTTAGACAGAGAAGCCCGCCTTGAGTCTGAAGTCTTTATGGGTCTTGTAAGTAGCTGCACTAAGCCCCTGAAGTAGTTAATTAAGTGGAGGGGTGGATGACTGGTAAGGTCCAGAGATAATGGCAAGAAGAATGTCCCGACAACTGCCTGGTGTACAAACAAATTGTACTCGCCTAGTTGTGCTTGCGGGGTTGAGCTTTGATTCTTTGGTCCCACCTCTATCAATCGTCAATCTACTAGTATACAGGTTCCCGAGCTTCTTGAGCTCTATCATATCTACATTTGAAACTGTGTATGGAGTCAGCCTCCACCACATCACTTCCTAGTGCATTCCATTTACTAACTACTAACACTGTAAAAGTTCTTTCTAATGTAATTGTAGTCTCTCGGAGGTGTGGTTGTCTTTTGCTGTCTTGCTCCTGTGCCGTGCAGCTCCCTTGTGCACTACCTCCTCCAGTCAGCACTTGGAATGGCTTGTTAGGGAAAAACACTCCTGCTGGTGGGTATTTTGAATGTGGGCTCCTCTACATTAGTTGCTGTAAGAGGCAAAAATCTCTTTCTGGTCAAGTCCCCAAGGAGATGGTTCCATGGAATAGGTTTGTAGTAATTGTAGCATTCGTAGTGATAATCCCTGTGCATGGTATTTTTTTTATTGGTCCAGCTCTTATTTCAAAGCCTTATTGCAAAAAAAAAAAAAAAAAAGATGGTGTGTGGAAGAGAAGGTTCATTGTTTTATTAAGAGTACAGTACACATAATGAATTTAGTTAACTTGTTGCACTTTCCAGCAAACTCATCATGCATTGTTATACAAGTACAGTATATTGTACAACAAAATGGTCAAAGTATCAAGTACAGGTATTCCAACATAATCTAACGATCACATGGGAATGTGTGTAGCTCTTGTGTATTATTTTAAATGTTAAATTTTGGTTATTATGACCGTTTTGTTTTAAATACATAACATGTACTGTACAGGTATTGAGTTTGTGTGATGACTTGAAATACAGACTTGACTCGGTTTCTTCACAATTCTTGTGTTATGGATGGTTTAGCATGGTTCACATTTACAGAATTTCTGTGATTGCTTTGGTTTCTTATGATTTATAATATAAGAGATTTGTGGTGAATACTTTAACCACCGCAATGTGTTCCATTGGGATCAGCAATGGAAGCTTTTGTAATACCACAATTTGTAGATCTGCTGTAAGCACTAGTAAATAAATTTAGGGCCGGAATGTATCGAACATTGCCACAGGCCTAAATTTATAATGTTAAAGGTCTATGTGTGCTGAGAAAAGGACAATAAAGTTTAACCTATCTAGATGTACATAAAGTGTTACAAATTCATTGTCGAAAATAAAAGTGCCGCACCAAATAGGGCTGCCAGTGTATTAGAAATGTAGCTTAGATCTGATTATGCTATCCTTCCCCACCTCCTTATGAATTTTTAAATCTCAAGATGCAGGTAATTCACTGGATAATAGTTTATTTTAGTTATTATTGCCTAGTTTAAAAATTTAATTATGGTCATAATACAGTACATGTGTGAATATAATAATAAAATTAATGTAAACACATGAAAAAAATATTTTAATTAGTGTCTACTTGGTTTAACTATTGCATAACTACTTAGTATAAACTACTTGGTCTGTGTGATGAGGTTATCGTGTATCGGTAGCATTAGTGTTATCAAATCACAATTTGGTGTTTCTTATCCGTGTTTTAAATACTTCTGGACGTTATCAGATGGATTAGCATAAAGTAGTGGGTTGCAATACTCTTTCTTTGAGCTATGTCAGAAACAGATTAACCGGCAATATAGGTGCTACTTTCCCTACTTGGCGAGTCAGCAAAATTGTTACCCATGAGCCATCTGACTTGAAGTCCTCGCTCCCCTTCACCTGGATCCCCTAGTGCATATGAAAAAAAGCTGTTTTTTTTTTTTTTTTTTTTTTTACATTTTTACATACAAATGCATCATTTTACAAGAACACATTTACACAAATTATAAAAATATATATCACATTCGTGTGATTTTCTGTGTGTACCTGAAATTAGCATGTATGGTGTTGAACCACTTTGCCTTCACCAAAATGCTTGGAGGGAGGGGAAGGGGGCATGTGTAAAACTTGGACTGGCTTCAGGAGGGGCCTCCAGACTTCTTGTGATTTCTGTAGAAATCTGGTTGTTTGACTTTCAACAATTCAGTGGTGGGACAGTGGTAGAGTATGCGGCTGGCAATGTTTTGATCGTGGGTTCGCGTCCCCTCGGAGCTCCAGTGAATTTTTCTATTACATTGTTTATAAACGTACTGGTGTAACTTAAGAAAGCTAGTTATTATGCAAATATTTTATTAATTTTGGTCTTGTTATTTTTGAACAACTTCAGTGCATAATGGTCATAATGCTCATGGTTTAATTTTATATTTTATTTCCATAATTATATTAAAAAAATGCTATACAAAAGTTAGTAGCTGCAGCATAGTGAGCATTGATTGCTTGGAAGAGAATGAGGAATGTGTGCATGCATCTTCATTTCATGTATACATTGGTATTTGCATGCAACTAAGCGGACGTTTAAGCTGGTATTATGAATACAATCACTGTGTGGCATGTTACCATTCATACAATTAATGATGCCGAATCCAAAGTGGCAAGAATAATATGAGCAGATTGAAAACTATGTACTGTATTGTATTTTCCTAACATGCTGTATGTATTTGATTATTGCATTTGAGTACTGTATTTGATATTGAGCAATGTTTCTAAGATGTTGAAAACAGGATGCTGAAGTGAAATTTAAAATTACAGCAGAGTTTTCTATCTTGATTTTGTTTTGATAGGTATTATGACCAAATTGTTGCCCTGGAGTCCAAGATTCCTGCAGCAGAGATTCAGATACCATTCAAGTGGAAAGATGCATTTGACAGAGGCTCCATTTTTGGTGGTCGTATAAGCCTAAGTATGTTCTTTATTTTTTTGCATGTGAAGCTTGAATTTTTTTTTATTCTTTTAAGTTTTGCTTGCAAATTAAATTGTTTAATGTAATGCATGAAAGTGTCTTTTTTGACTCATTTTAAAAGAAACTTTTAATATGCTGTAATATTTTTTTTTTTTTTTTTTTTTTTTAAGATTAAAACATCATGAGCCAATAATACTATAGTAGGTTTTGATGTAATACTGTATAATATCTAAAGGCATACAATGTTTTCTTACAAATTTTCTTTTCTTCAAAGCTGTGGCGTCATTATCCTATGAGAAGGTGTGTGTTCTGTACAACATTGCTGCCCTTCAAAGTCAGGTAGCTGCAGCACAGAACTCTGATTCTGATGAGGCTCTCAAATTGGCTGCCAAACTCTTTCAGGTATGATATTTTTACATGTCATGAATGACCTAGGGTTGTAGTTATTGAGTTGCTTATCCTGTAAAGTTGATTTATTTTTACCTCCACTTGCTAAGAATTAACTTCTCATTTTAATAATTTTTTGTCAAACGATTGGCATTTATTTGGAGGCTACCTCCTGGGTGTGAGAAATTTGTTGAATTTTAACAAATAATCAAGGTTTGAACTTGTGTATACTTGCTACTCTCGAATCATATGGGTTTCACCCTCTGAGTGTTTACTAACTTTTTTACTGGGAAAGTCCAAAAATAAACATAAATTTACATGGTTAGGGAGGATCTTACTATACGTGCAGTACTCAAATAATTTATTAACAGAAATCTCAAAATTAGCTTTCTTGGTAAGGAGCTTCAATATTGTTCATTCATTATTTCTACTTAACCTAATCTAACACAACACTTAAATTGCTACTGTACATGAGCTTGATATTATGAATTTTGCTTACTTGTTATAGGGGGTATAGAGTATTAATGAGAAGGGCCAACAGCTAGAATCAAGATGTATAAAAAATAGTGGAGTAGATAGGCCTGGCCCCCCAAGGAACATAGATTCCTGTTAATGTTTCAAGGTTTTAGAAACAGATCTGCTGTCAAGAATACAATAATCTACACCCCTGCAACAGGATTAATGGATACACCTCAAAAACTAACATTTATTAAACCCTGTTAACCCCCATATACATTACTATAATAACAGTAATTACTTTACCACACTATCTTACATTAACTACCTTGGTCCACATAGACAGGATACAAGATTTACACTTGGGACAAGCTAGGGTAAAGTCTACTTGAAAAGAACTCGAAGGCTTGAAGCAGCCTGGGGTAGTTAAGCCCCATGTGGTACCCTAGTCACAACAAACACTTAGGGATGCCCAAAACACTGGCTTATACTACACAATACTTAATAATTAACACGCATGCCTAGCTAGTAGCACGATACCTTAATGCAAATTAACTTAACTGAAAAATACCCCAGCATGGGGTAAGGGAAGAGAGGAGTAGGAAGAGGAGGAAACAGAGCCACACAGGAGAGGTGTTGACTCAACCTCAGTAGTCCAGAGAAGAGAGAAGCAGCCTCTCTATGCTCCCTCACTCTGATCACTGCCAGTCGGATACTTAGCTAATCGTACAGCAGCCATCATTCCAAATTTACTCAGGCCTTCTTTACTAGTTACAGTACTTGCATCATTTCTAAACATAGCTGATAACTAGTTCGATATTTAATAATCAACAAGCCCAGTGTCTTAATGCTCTGTGAGAAACAAGATTCGTCTTACGTCTGGCAAGGAAGATAGGAACAAAAATGCATCGGCAGTTCTATCAATTAATGTATAATAATTATTTAGAGCTCAACTTGACCTCTGGTTTCCAACTAAGGAACCCAGGGTCGTAACACTTGACAAGGTCATTTTCGACTAATAGCAGCTGAGGCTTCACTGGTTTATACACAGCCTCGTCTAACTGTGCAGTCTCTGCAGTGTTCAAAAGTTTTCTATTACATCTTCTACTAGTGCTTGCGCTCTCATTAGTAGCAATGTATTTCATGTACAGTACTGATCTTTACGTTTCCTTATATAGATGACTGTACTCGCACCCATACCAAAATCCTTGATACAGCAGACTAGCCATTTTTGAAAAATTTCGATCACACACAACTTGCCTTTAGAGGATAGTGTAAATTGCTTTCTCTTAAACCTAATGATTATAAAGAGTATAAATTATTTAAGACTAGTTATATACAACCATAAGGAGATTATGCAGAAATTACAAGTTCTTATTTAAGTGTGGTAGTCTTTGCCTGGACCCTAAAATAAAAAAAAAATGTATAGAAAATTAAATTTTTTTATTCTTTGGTAAGTGGCAGAATTTGTATAGATCATGGGAAAATTTGACAAAAATCTAGCAGTTATACTTTAATATACAGTATGCATGTACATAATTACATGTAAGAGTGACTAGTCAACCCACCAACTGCACATACTTCCACCTTCAAGGAATGCATTTCCTGTCACTCAAGTCTATATTGTCCATTATTTCCATGTTTATTGGAGAAGACCCTATTGTTATTACAAATGATTAAATTACCACCATTAACATTGAATGAACATTGAAAATCATTCCACATAACTGTCTGGGTATTTGCAGGATGGGAGCAGGTGACATGTTACCTGGGTGCTGATGGCTTTGCAAGTTTAGCAAATAAAGGCCAATATCATTAGACATATCTGATAGCGGGACACTCGACCAAACATATGCAGACTTTGTACAATTTCCACATGTCTCGTCACTCACAGGTGTGTGTGTGTGTGTGAGATCTGCGTTCACTTGCCCAATACACAGTGGAAAGGTTAAACTAGTATTCTCATGCTTCCCTAAAGTTCTTTCGTATACTCATTAGTCTATCAAACTATTCATTCTACATTCATCTTAGTCTACACTTCATCTTGCAATTTGTCAACATTTTCACTCGATGTATCCATGACATTTACATTCAAAGCTACTTTCCAATTGCCAAAAATGGCTTCTCACATTGTTCAGTTCTATTATTCTATTTGGTGAACTAGGGAGGGTTGAGCCTAGTTTTGGATCTTGTCTGCATGGCATGTGTAGGTTGAACATGTCCACTCAACAACTGAAGCAGAGGATCATTTTCCTCCTCTATTGTATCTTCACTATCATTATGATTTAACTCTGCATGGGGCAAGTGTAACTCCTTAGGGTAAAATGGCTTTAATTTGTTTGCATGCACCAACTTCTGTTCCCTGTTATATATATGAGAAATCAGAACAATCACAGGACCAGTCTTCCGAATCCCTCGTTAAGGTCCTTACTAGCTATCCCGTAAGACTGTTCTGTCCTGACGGGTTACCATTGGATAACAGTAATAGAATTGAATCTCCTTGCAATTTCCCCTGCCTTACAATCACAGTGGATGGTAGTGGAGGTTATAAAAGATTATTTATATGTTGATATACAATTATAATTTCAAAATTTTAAGTTATATAAGAAGGTTGTATATTTTTGTTTTCAGAGTGCAGCTGGAGTTTTAAATTATTTAAAAGGCATTGTCCATTCATCAATACAACAAGAGCCAACTCCAGATCTTCAGCCTGAGACCTTGGCTGCCTTGGCTGACATGTGTGTAGCTCAAGCTCAGGAAGTCATTACTATCAAGGCTATCAAAGGTATTGGTGAATTTCTTCCAAAGAATCAATTTTTCATTTGAAGTCTGTTTTTGTTGTAGTTCCTTTTATTATTCTATACACAAGCGAGTGTATATTGTATATGTAATTGAATATCTATTTTTATACATTCTGGGTTCGGGTATAAATTTAGAAAAATGGACACGACATGAAATTTTGTTTGTCTGAAATCCAGGAGTTCCCAGCCTTTTTTGTTTGGAGAAACCCTTGAAATATTTCATAAAGTCTCGAGAGACCTCTACCTGGCTGACATATATTAGGTTCGGTAGAGGTAAATTACAAAATAATGTAAAGCAGTAGGATTAATAAATAATAAGCTCGTACAGTACTTTTAAACATTATTACCGGCAATCTTTTCAACATCTTCGGATACACAAGTTCTCTTAACGTATTTCCAGTGCCCAAAATGTATAGGCAGACAATGAAGTTTGTTGCTACATATCAGAGCTGCTTGTGTAACTGGCTCTGCTACCAGCTCCACCTTCATTCTCAAACCTCCTGCAGATAGAAATGGTCTAGTCTTAATCTTCAACTAGTAAATATGTAAATAATATGAAACGCTCATAAGTTATAAGATAAGGTTAATATGCCAATCTAATCCAAATTAATTGTTAATTAATGAAAAGGGAAGATTAAGAATAATACTTGCCTAATTTTCATCTTGCTATGCTAACCATAAAACTTGCATTTTTTTGTTTACAAGTCCAGGTGTCAACTTGTAGGGGAAATTTTTTTGGCTCCCTCCATACACATGTTAAAGGATGCCAGAAATGAATTTATCTAGCATTAATAAACAGCATTTACGTAACAATAAAGTAATGCTGTCCTATGGTACTGTAATGATAACTTGCAAATTTTAAAAGCTTTAAAAAAAATGGTAGGTAGTAGATTGCTGGAACGCCAGCAATGAATTCCTTGCTACTACAAAAATTTCTTGCCCAACAAAATTGATCTTCCCAAGTAAAGCTCGCTACTTAAATAAAACTATAATGCAAATTCACTATGTAACAATTTTTGTTTCTAGGTAGTGCTATTTTTCGAATGGCATGTCTCCACAGTATGGAACATGGCTATTATTCCTCAACCTTTTTTTTCAACATTTGCCTTGGACAGCTTAGGAGAGATGTCTTGAAGGTTACTCGAAGGCTGCTGACTCCTTGTCTGCAGCTGTGACAAGTTGTCCTCTCATAATTTTGCATATGGTGATCATAGTTTTTTTTTTATTTGGATGCTATTTGGTAGCATGTTTTTGTATTCCACTGATGAGGTGTAATTCTATGTACAACTGGTTGCTTGCACATACAAAGCATTCATGAATGTAGCATATTATATTCAGTAATATTTTATGTATGCATATTTGTAGTGTAGCATATTTTGAGCACGTGCCCGCACTGAAATATGTGTACTCTTTTCAGTTTCCCCACATAAATTTTTGTGTTACATCATTCATTTTGGCATCAAATTGTTCACAGTAGAATTCTCTAAAGGAATATGTGCATATAAAATAAAAATAAACAAGTGCACTACCCACAGCAAACTAGAAAGTCCGCAGTGTGTTACCCATGAGTACGCACCCATCTGCACACCCCACACTAAAATGAGTATACTCTGTTCAGTTTTCTCACCTCAATTTTCATGCTACGTCGTTCATTCTGGTATCAAATGGTTAGCAATCTAAAGCATGTACAGCTTTACTTCATACCTGTTTTGTTTATTTGGATTATAAACCTTGAAAGCTAGACGGCCTCTCCATGACATTGTGCCTTCATCCACACATTTTTCTGAGGAATGAATAATGTTTTGGATTTTTGTGAGATATTCCATGAATGTTTCAACTTTTATTAGTCTTGATTGTCTTTGGGAATGGCATTATTGTTATAAGTATGAAAATACTTTGAAATCAATTCGTATTGGTTTGCAGTCATAAAAGAATTGAAAGAAGGTACATGCCACAATTTACCTGTTTGCCAGTACAGTACATTCTCATCGTTGGCAACTTCATAATGCCAATCAACATTCAGTCCCAAATATCTGGCAAACTCTCTTACACTCACTTCATCCCACTTATTGAGTTAGCAGTATTGGACATGCTTTGTGATGCTTAAAAGTTTTTCGTGTGCCATAAATTTCAACAAATCTTGTGTAATAAATAACTAAAAATTGGAGAGGAGTGCTCGGTACAGGTACAGTCAAGTCTGGTGTTCCAGTAAAACTGCCTACAAATGGTGCAGTGTTGTCAGTAGACCAAGCTTCACTAGAACTGGTGCGTGGGGTACGTGCGGTACGAGTTCTAATAGCAGGCCCTGCACGTGTGACTGGCAGTATCGTCAGAATCATCACTCCCCTTGCTTTCAATTTCATCCTCGCCTGCAGTTTCAATCCCCTCACTATTTACATCATTGACACTTTTGTCACTTTCAAGATCAAGGTCAGAAAATTTGTCAACTAAAGCCTTGAATTTTGTTGGTGTGTTTCACTTTTCTGTTCTTTTGGTGAACACTACTTAGCTTCTCCCTCAGATGTGTTTCTTTCACTGCTTTCTTTCTGGAATGACACAGTTCTTGATCACTATCCATCTTGGAGTTAATGTAGAGTGTATAAAGCCAGTAACAAATATAGCTGAGGAAAAATAGCCGGAACAGGTACACGTGTTGGACGTACGGGAAGGCCGCAGCGGTCACAAGGTTTCGGACAATAACAGAGTCTACGGCGGCAGGCAGGGCCTTGATGCCACATAGGCCATAACAGAAAATTGGAAGAAGTTGGTGCAAAGTTTAAAAAAAATCCCCATAATAATCGGATAAAAAATGGAATTTTAACATTTAATTTTGGACACCACATGCGTCCCCGCCGGACATCCGTAGAGTTGTTTGTGGATGTCAACTCCGTCCCTGGAGGACGAAAGTGTTAGTGATTTCCATCCCCACCCCCCTCCCCTCCCAAATATGCTAAGTGTGTAGTGAGTGATAAATAAAATAATTTTTCAGATAATTCTTTTAATATTCTAAATTTTTTCAGACCGAATGAAGGATGTTGTGGTGGCAAAACTCTGCTCACAATGTGAAGAGATGTTTGGAGATGCTCTTAAGCATCTCCAGAGAGAGACTTTGAAGAGTCTTTGGGATCGTGACTGGATACCTCGTGTAGCTGGCAAACAAGCAGGATACCATGCTCTTGCAGAGTATCATCAGAGTAGGGTAAATGTTGTTAACTGTTGTTTATACACATTGCATTTATAGACTAGGCATTGTCAACCAACTGCTGTTTTTAACCCATCTAAGAATTGGTTCACATTTTTCTAGATCTAATCTCCAACCTATATAAATGTGATGATGGAGCCAGTTACAAAATATATCGTGTATACCAAGCAATTATTTTTATTGTAGTAGTCTATAGGGAGTCAAATATATTTCACTCTTCTGTAGCTGATGCATGCCTCTGACACTGTTCTCCTCGTTCTGCCTTCAACCCCTGTCTATTAGCTCACCATGAACAGTGACCTCACACAGTCCATTACATCTACTGCTTCCACCTTCTCTGCCATGGCCTTCCAGCCAAAAATGAAAGCCTGATCCCTACCCCCTCTTATCTTCCTGAAGGGCAAGGCTTGATCCTTGACCTGGCAATCTCCCTGATGAGTTAGAACGTAAGAGTAAAAGGTTTGTGTGTTAGAGCCTACATGAGATACATAGCTATTATGTACATCTCCTTAATGGAGATCTCTAGAGAAGGAGTAAGGTGTCGGTTCTATAGAATTCTTGTTTACCAATGAGATCAAGAGATGTATTTTGGGGGGATACTCAATCCACCCAAGAAGTTAAAGGTTGGACAAGTCCCTTGGCTCCTGGGCCAGATTCCTTGAATTGTTTGTTTATACCATTAGCAAAGATGCTCAATATAATTAAATATCATGGAAATTGCATTGAAATATGAGTAAACACATCAGCACAGGAGAAGATCACTTGTATGGATGTACCCATTGATAGTATTGCTGGGCCAGCCACAAAATGCTACATACATTATTCAACAATAGAACAAGTCTATTCCCAGAGGGAATGGACTCGTTCCTCTCAATGTTTGCTGATGATGCAAAAATGACAAGGAGGATTAAAACGGAGGAAGATAATATGAGGCTACAAGATGATCTAGATAAGCTGAGTGAATGGTCCAACAAATGGCTGCTACAGTTCAACCCAAGCAAATTAAGGTAATGGAACTAGGCAGTGAAAACAGGAGGCCAGAAACAGGATACCGAATGGGAGGTGAAGTCCTCCACGAAATGGACAGAGAGAAAGATCTAGGAGTTGATATCACACCAAACCTGTCTCAAGAAGCCCACAGAAAAAGAATAACATCGGTGGCATATGTGAGGCTGGCTAACATCAGAACTGCCTTCAGGAACCTGTGCAAGGAATCCTTTAGAACTTTATATACCGCATATGTAAGACCAATCCTGGAGTACACGGCCCCAGCATGGAGCCCGTACCTTGTCAAGAACAAGACAAAGCTGGAAAAAGTTCAAAGGTATGCCACTAGGCTAGTCCCAGAACTAGGAGGCATGAGTTATGAGGAAAGGCTGCATGAAATGAATCTAATGTCGCTGGAAGATAGGAGAGCTCGGGGAGACATAATCACTACCTACAAAATTCTCAGAGGAATCAACAGGGTAAACAAAGATAGATTGTTTAACACGGGGGGTACTCGAACAAGGGGACACAGGTGGAAACTGAGTACCCAAATGAGCCACAGGGACTTTAGAAAGAATTTTTTCAGTGTCAGAGTAGTTAACAGATGGAATGCATTAGGCAATGATGTGGTGGAGGTAGACTCCATACACAGTTTCAAATGTAGATATGATGGAGTCCAGTAGGCTCCATCAGGAATCTGTACACCAGTTGATTGACAGTTGAGAGGCAGGACCAAAGAGCCAGAGCTCAACCCCTGCAAGCATAACTAGGTGAGTATATTAGCAGTATGGTACCATCTATGCTATAGTACAAGTTCAGTGAAATATTTATATACAGTATACAAATATCTGCTAACATGATTGCAAGAATTTAAAAAATTGTGAAATTATTAGTTTATATTTTAAAGTATATTGTGCCAATCTGATCTGTACAGGGAATCTGTTTAAAATTGCCTATTGTCATTTGGATGTAATCATTTGAAATAAATAAATAAATTTAAATAAATAAATAAATTTAAATAAATAAATTTATATAAATTTAAATAAATAAATTTATATAAATTTAAATAAATAAATTTATATAAATTTAAATAAAAAATTTATATAAATTTAAATAAAAATTTATATAAATTTAAATAAAAATTTATATAAATTTAAATAAAATTTATATATAAATTTAAATAAAAATTTAAATAAAATAAATAAATTAATTTAATAAATAAATTTAAATAAATAAATAAATTTAAATAAATAAATAAATTTAAATAAATAAATAAATTTAAATAAATAAATAAATAAATTTAAATAAATAAATAAATTTAAATATATAAATAAATTTAAATAAATATAAATATAAATAAATTTAAATAAATATATATT